AGATCAGTCGGACAGTGTCAGCATCCTGTTGGGGCCCCACTGACCTTTCCTTGCTAGGAAGAGGCACAACATTTCACTGGCCCTTGGAGTTCTGAGTGGTGGCAGAGACCAGGGTGGTCCATATTTATTTTTATTTGTTTAAGTGCATTCCTTCAAGTACCTCAGGCTGGTTTACATTTTTTTATATACCTTCTCCATTTTATCCTTGCCACCACTTTGTAAAGTAGGTTAGGCTGGCCCAAGCCACCTAGTGAACTTTTCAGTCTCTTTCTCATATAGTAACAGAACTTGGAGGCATCTCATGAAGTTGATGTGCAGTAAGTGGGTAGGTTAGAAATGTATTGCATGTGGTGAAAGGCTTTTACAATATAACAAAAACACCTGCCCAAGCAGTGATGAACAATAAAAGCATGATAAAAGCAATGTTAAAATTTCCACAACCAAAACATAACATAAATTGCAGTGCATTAAATGTCAAGCAAAAATTTAATGCAGGTTATCTTACAGTCTAGTGCATATAAAGACATCTGATAAGTTTTTTTTAATTTTTTTTAATTTGCATCATAAATTATTATTACATTACAATACAGTCCCCGTTCTCTTATGATGCTTTCCCCCCCTTTTATATCCCACCCCCCACAAGGTGGCCATCACATAACTTCAAATTAAATTTTTAACCATGAGCACATTTTTTTTCATTTTTTCAAGTATAACGGAATTAGCTTCTCCATTATTTACCCATTGAAAGTATACAGACCATTTCTTTTTTATCTCCTTCATCTTTCCATCCCATGCCTTATCTTGTTTAATACTTTCCAATATATCTGACTGAATATATTCATATAAATAGTCGTTCCATCTATCTAAAGACCACTTCAAGTTCTCCTTCCAACCATATGCAATCACAGCATGCGCGGCTAATAACATTGCTTTAAAAATATCCTGATTTTGTCTCTCGGTGTTATAGTTTCCCAGTACGCCCATAAATAATAAATCTCCATCTATTTTAAGATCCACCTTACATAACCCTACTATCTTTCCCCGTACCTTTCCCCAGAAATCTCTTACCTTTGGGCATTCCCACCATAGGTGAGAATACCACCCTTCTTTTGCGTTGCAATGCCAACAGTTAGGTTTCATACCTTTAATCATATATACCAATTGGGCAGGGGTTCTATACCATTTCAAAATTATCTTTCTTTCAAGCTTTCTATATTTTTCTAATTTAATTTTCTTCAAATTCACCATTAACCTATTAACGTTGTCAGAAGTTATTTGTTTTTCTTCATTCCATTTATTTTTTAAGGTTCTTAGTATAAACTCCTTATCTTTCACCAATTCAAGGTAAATTTTCCCTGCTAATCCTTTCCTTATTTCATCCACATATAATACCTGTTCTAAATTATTATCTTCCCTTTTTATAGCTTCTATATACTTATCTTGTTTAATTAAATGTGATAATCCCCTTAGATTTAGCCAGTAACTTTCCCCTATTTTTGGTTCAGCTCCTGAAGTGGTAGGAGAGTCCCTTGAGGGTTATACATATCCTTGACTCTAGTTATACCTTCCTCCTTAAGGACTCCCCAAAATTTCGGGTTCAAAGACATCTGATAAGTAACGTGTTGAGTGGGAAGCTAGCCTGGCTAAAATGGCTGCAAGAAATCTGGACTTGGAGTTGAATAAAGTTGAATAAAGATGCCAAAACAGGATGTAGGGGGAGAGGTCCTCCAGTTCCCAAGCTCCACAAATACAGACTCACTGAGAGACTAGTTTTTGCAAATAGCATTCAGGTAATATGTCATTCAGCATTGTTTGAAATCAGATGGCAGTAAAGGCTTCTCTAAGTTTATGGAAAGTGATGCTAAACAAGTAAAAAGCTCTGGTGTGGTCCTGTTTGATCAGTTTAAACCAAGGAGAAATCCTGGAATGTTTAATAACTCACCTATCATCATCAGCATTGGCTTGTTGATGGGCAGTAGATTCAGGATGGACAAATGGAAGCACTTCTGTACTCAACAGGTAATTAATTTGTGGAATTCACTGCCAGTGGATCTAATGATGGAAGTCCAAACAAAACGCCCATGACCAGGGGTCATTTCGTAGAAAAAGAGCTAGGGGAACTCATTAGCATAACTCATTAGCATATGCCACACCCCCTGACATCAAGGGCCCGGCGGTGGACCTGCAAGGCCAGCGGGAGTGCGAGGAAGCCCCGCCAAGGCCCTCCCTGGCCCCAGGCAGGCAGGGGTGTGGAGAGGCGGGGAGGAAGCAACTTACCCTCCCTCTTCTCCTGCCTCCTCCTGGCTGAATGAGGGCTGGAAGCGGGGTGGCCGGAAGCAGGGGTGGGGCTTCGTCGTGTGCCCCGCCCCCCTGCACCTCACCCGGGGGAACTGTGTTCCCCCACGTTCCCCCCGAAATGACCTCTGCCCATGACAAAAATAACGAAGAGTCAATAAAGATATATACGTGAAATTGTTTACTATAATAATTATAATTCTGTGGAAAACTCTCTTCTTTTATCGCTTACATGCAATGAATTTTGCAAAATAAAAATACCCATTTCACAAGGATTGCTTTATCTGAGTGTGCAGTAATTACAATTCTTATCCATTTCCACTTATCAACTCTTGAAATAAACATCCCATGTTGACTCTCTGATATTAGAATCCAAGTGGATCTAATGATGGCTTTAAAGCAACATTTGACAGATTCATAGAGAATCCGTTCATCAGCGGTCCTGGTGATGAAAGGGAACTTGCACATTCAGGCACAGTAAAACTCTGAATACCAGAGCTAGGAGGAAATAACAGGGAAGGTCTTGCCCCCTGTGCCCTCTTGTTGACCCCCCAGGACAATTGGTTGGCAACTATGTGAGACAGGACTAGAAGGACCACTGGTCTGATCCAGCAGGGTTTCATGGCAGCCTTTCCTTCTGACAGAGGACTCGAGTTTTGCTGCAAATTTTGTAGAGGCCTACATTTTTCAGGCACCTTCCAAGTCTCAGGATTGGACGGAGAAATGTACAAAAAGCTGCAGCCAATTATGGATGAAGAGGCAGGGCTGAAACAGAGAACATATAAGATTCTGCATAGAGAGGGAGGGAGCCCTGAAGCAGGGCTGTAATGAGGCTGTTTTTGGAGGGAGGGCTGATCTCTTACCTCAAGGTTTGTAGAGTTTGGGACTGTCACATAATGCCTCACTGACTCAGGAGCACTATTCCCCTTTAGGCTGTTTAAGGGGTCTGGACCCTCCCTGGACAAGCCCTAGAACCAGAGTGGTGGCAGTCTGTTAAGACCCTAGCCTGCTCCAAAGCTGAATGGGACGGAATGAAAGGAGGGCTTTTGTGGGGCTGGAGGGCTCCTTGGAAGGGACACCATATCTAGATCCAAATGGCCCTGCCCCTTCCTGCAACAAGGGGACACAGGAGGTGCAGAGAAAGGGGGGACAGTAGTAAAAAATTAACCCACAAGCTTTCAGCAAAGTGTTGAATCCAGCATGCAACACCTAAACCCAGGGCTATTTTTGTGCAGGAATGCACCGAAATGAAATTTGGGCTGGCTCCCCAGTCCGCCCCTCCCCACCCCATGTCTCCCTTGCCAAAAGCCCTGCTCTGCTAACCCAGAAGAAGCAGCAATCGAAGCAGAGCACTGGGAGCGAGCACGTGCGGTCATGCACGTCCCGTTGCCGCCCAAAAGGACTCCGCGTTGCCTGGGCCCTCCTCCTGCTCCATAGTTTGCCAGCCGCTCTCACCTGAGTCACCCAGCTCAACCATGCTGTTTTCAGTTGCTGAAGCACAGTTCTTCCAGCGCCTGGAGCTGCAACACACAGGCGAGGAGGGCCCCTGAAATGTTTCAGGGGGGAATAACCTCTCCTGGGGCTCCTGAGTCCCACCCCCCCCCCACGCCCCAGGCCCTGCAGCAGCCATCGGGAAACTAGGCAGCAGGAAGCTGCGGAGCTCTTCTGTGCCTGCCTGGGTTTCTCTGCTGTCTGGTTAAGGGCACCTGCCGAGTGGCCTCCTTCAGCCAGTGTCATCCAGTGGAAAGAAAAAGAACGTGTGTGTGTGAGAGAGAGAGAGAGCCTCCATGTATGTCTGAGTGTGAAAAGAAGGAGCCTGCCGGGGGGTAGAAAGAAAAAGAACTTGTGTGTGTGTGTGTGTGTGTGTGTGTGTGTAAGAAAGTGCCTCCGTGTATGTCTGAGTGTGAAGAGTAACAGCCTGCGGGGGGAGGGGGATGGAAAGAAAAAGAATGTGTGTGAGAGAGTGCCTGCGTGTATGTCTCTGTGTGAAAGAGAGACAGAAAGTGCCTCCGTGTATGTCTGAGTGTGAAGGAAAAACAGCCTGCCTGAGAAGGGGGGGTGGAAAGAAAAAGAACTTTGTGTGAGTGCCTGCGTTTATATCTGTGTGAAAGAGAGAAAATGCCTGTGTGCACGTCTGAGTGTGAAGGAGAAAGAGCCTGCCTGAGGAAGGAGGGAGGGGGCTGAAAAGAAAAAGAATGTGTGTGAGAGAGTCTCACCCAAATCAGCTGGACACTGCAGGAATTAGAGTCCTTAACGAGTCCTTTGCCTCTGTCTCTGCATTTGCAGAAGTGAGTCACTGGCTCACATCTGAAGTACTGGTGATATAAGCCTCTCATGTAAACAATGAAAACAGCTTCTTTCTTGGCTCAGGCGAGAGAAAGCAACGTTTCTTCAAAATAAAGGGGAGGTTCTTGGGTCAAGATCAGACAACTGAACTTTGGGCTAGTTACTGATTCCTTCATTATGCTATATTGGTGCTGGATTTTCCATTAGCAATGAAGGCAACAATACTAACCATCTCAGCCTGCAATCCTAAAAACACTTTCCTGGAGACTGAAAAAAATGGGGCACTTCTGAGTAGACTGGTTTAGGATTGCTCATTCAGAAACCTTCAGGTTGAAAGATATAAATCCTTTTAAAATATGTATAAATAAATAATAGCTTTTTATTTCTTTTTCTGACCTAGAACATATATTTTTACCAAGCCCTGCACCAAGATGAATCTTGACTCTTTATGTAAAGTACAATAATTCTATTTCTGTAGTATTTTGACATTTTTATTTAAACGTTTTTTAAATTCAGTCTTTAATGAACCCCTCCAGAGGGCTTTGTGCCAGTTTAAAATAATTCCATCAATCTAAAAAATAAAATAGGCATTTAGAATATTACAATACTGTATAGAAGTCAGCCATTAAAAGCCATCCCAAGCAAGGATTTAAAGCACTTCTGGAAAATGTTAAGGCTCGAACCTTGGTGATACTGTAGAGGAAGTGAATTTCAAAGCTGTAGGACAGATACCAAGTGTGCTAACGTACTTTTGTGGTACAAACTTGGTGCAATCCAGTAGGATATTATGCTGAGCAGATCACTTCAGAAGGGACCAGAGATGCACAAAAAATCCTCTGTACCTCTGCTTCATTCCTACTGAGCTCATGCAGGAGATGTTTTCTTGTAGGTATTGGAGCATTCAGGAGTACTTTGCAATGACCTTCAAAATTACATAACATGAGGCCATGATTTAATTAAACTTTGATTAGTGTGCCTAACTGAATGCAGGCCACTCTACTGATTAATTAGGGACCCTCAAACCAGGATCTGAAGCCATAGTTTGAAGCTGAATAACTAAACCAAAGTTAGTCTTAACTATGGTTTTGTGCAATATATGAATGAAGCCATGTTGACTTAACCCTGGCTGGTTTCTTAGCACCACTTTTACTCATTCCTGAATATAGAGATGCCCAGCTAGAGCAAAGAAGAAACCACCATTGAGTGATCATCTGTAAACCAAATCCTGTTTTCATAAGGTAACCCTGGTTTTGGATCTGAACTAAGCCCATGAAAAGTTCACTCTCAAAGTTAGAGGTGGTCCAACCCATTAATGGTTCTATATGCTTATGCAGGGGTCATTTCGTAGAAAAAGAGCTAGGGGAACTCATTAGCATAACTCATTAGCATATACCACACCCCCTGACATCAGGGGCCCGGCGGTGGACCTGCAAGGCCAGCGGGAGTGCGAGGAAGCCCCGCCAAGGCCCTCCCTGGCCCCAGGCAAGCAGGGGTGGGGAGAGGCGGGGGGGAAGCAACTTACCCTCCCTCTTCTCCTGCCTCCTCCTAGCTGAATGAGGGCTGGAAGCGGGGTGGCCGGAAGCAGGGGGCGGGGATTCGTCATGTGCCCCGCCCCCCTGCACCTCACCCGGGGGGAACTGCGTTCCCCCGCGTTCCCCCCCAAAATGACCTCTGTGCTTATGTCATATCTGAACAGCATGGGAGCTGCTTTCTTGGGTCTTTTAACCATATGACAACAGTATAGGATTCTACCACAACCCAGAAAGCATGAAAATATGTAATAGATATAGCAGTTTGCTGACTGAAATGCATCAGTTAGATTTTTTTCTGCTAATTTTCAAAAAGCCAATTACATACTTTGTTTTCAGCCATAATTTCAACATTTTTTGTTACTGTATAGCATGTGGTTATGTTTGATGCATGGGTGGAAATAATGACTGCAATTTTTGGCTAGTTGAAAAAGATGGGGCTCGGAATTGGGGTGGGATATATGGCAGTCAATGATCCCTCTAAGCTTTGGAGTCTGGTGAGCAAAAACTCTACTTTGTGAGCTACTGGCACTAAAGTTGTGGGCGACCAATTTGGCCTCTGCATAAATCAGTTTGCCCTGAGCTAAGACAAAAATGTGTGTCAGGGGTGTGGCCTAATATGCTAATGAGTTTCTGCTGTTGGGTGAGGTCTATTGTGCTAATGAGTCCCTGCCAGGCTTTTTCTACCAAAAAAGCCCTTCATAAACCTATATGAGATCAGCCACTAACTTATTTTTGTTTTGTTTTGTTTTTAAATAGAAAACTCTACAATAATGGTTTCACAAAGATACCGGCCCATGCATTCAATTGGACAAAGCTGGATTCTGTGTAAGTAGGGTGCTTGAAAACATTTGTAATTTTACCTTGAGCATCTCATAGTTTCACTCTAAAGCATAGTGGAAGATGTGGAAGTAGAAAAGATCCAGTGACTTGCAATGTAGATGTTGCAGACCTCAAGGTATTGGGTGAAGGCTTCACTCCTACCACATATTTGAATAGCAATATATCCTGGTGGGTTCCTGTAGTGGCAAAAGTGTCCATAACCATTAGGGTTGCCAACAGTGTGGAGAAGAAAAATGTCATGTCCCATAAGCAGAGGCTTAATGAGATCTTATCTACCAGGTCAGGGAACCAAGTGCGTGGACTCTAATCTGGGAGAACCGGGTTTGATTCCCCACTCCTCCGCTTGCACCTGGCTGAATGACCTTGGGCAAGCCGTAGTTCTGATAAGAGCTGTTCTTGAAAAAGAGCAGTGTCTGTCAGAGCTCTCTCAGCCCCACCTACCTCACAGGGTGTCTGTTCTGGAGAAGGGAACTGAAAGGAGTTTGTAAGCCACTCTGAGACACCTTTGGGTAGTGAAGGGCGGGGTATAAATCCAATCTCTTTTTCTTCATATTGACATACAGTAAAAAGTACGGTTCCCAGTAAGGTAAGTAGACTTGTACAAGAAGAACCACATAAATACAAAGGGTTTTAAAAGGGGGATTATATATAGTTATTATTATAGTTATTATTATTTTTAAAGCAATTATGAAGCCAGAATGCCAGCAGGGGTTTGGGGGCTATCCAGTGTTTTGCATGGAGTGTCACATATATGACTATTTGCCCACTGGACAGAAGTCTTGGGTGTGTGCCCTTGCAAGGAGCTCCTGGTTTCAGGGAATGAGTTTGCTCCCTTGAGGCCAAGGTGGCAGACCTGGAGAAGCAGAGACAATTAGATAGGCACACGGAGAAGACTCTCAGGGACTTTTTAGATACGTCCCACTCTGAATATGGCAGCCCCACCGCTGTCAGGGAGCATGAGGGTCGAGGGGAAACAGGGCACCGTGCTGCGGATAAGGGGAATGTACCCTCAGAAGGGACCTCTACTTCAGCTGGTGAACGGCTATCCTTTCACACCAAGGAAGCATCCCTTGGCAGGGAGGGAGGGGGGCTCTTCGTAGTTGGTGATTCAATCCTTAGGCAGGTAGACAGCTGGGTGGAAGAACTGTGTACTAACCGTATGGTGACTTGCCTGCCTGGTGCGAAGGTAGCAGACATTACGCGTGTTCTAGATAGGCTGGTAGATAGTGCTGGGGAGGATCCAGTGGTTGTGGTACATGTTGGCACCAACAATGTGGGGAAATGCAGTCGTGAGGTCCTGGGGGGAAAATGTAGGCTGCTAGGCAGGAAACTCAAGGCCAGGACCTCCAAGGTAGCCTTCTCAGAAGTGCTACCTGTTCCACGCAAAGGGCCAGAGAGACAGGCACAGATCAGGAGTCTCAATGCATGGATGAGACGATGGTGCAGGGGGGAAGGGTTCAAGTTTGTTAGGCACTGGGATGCTTTTTGGAACAAGAGGGAACTATACAAAAGAGACGGTCTCCACTTGTCCCGAAAAGGAACCAGGCTGCTGGCGCTTAAAATCAAAAAGGTGGCAGAGCGGTTTTTAAACTGAATATTGGGGGAAAGCCGACAGGAGATGAAAAATCTCTGGTTCGAGATGGCTCATCTCAAAGAGATGAAGGGGTAGCTGTTACTTCTCAAAAAGGAAAAGGATTAGAATTATCCACTGAGACTGTGGCTAACGATATGGACTGCCTGACAAGGTCTCAAGGCAGCAAGAGGAAGGTTGTGGGCTTAACATGCATAGGAAACTATAGGTGTTTATACACCAATGCTAGAAGTGTCCGAGGTAAAATCGGGGAATTGGAATGCTTGGTGTTGGGGGGAAAATAGACATTGTGGATATTTCAGAAACTTGTTGGGATGAGGAAAATCAGTGGGATACAGTGATTTCTGGTTATAAATTATATCGAAAGGATGGGGGGGAAGGGTTGAATGTGGGGTGGCTCTGTATGTCAGAGAGGGTATACAGTCCACTAATATTGAGAGGGTAAGTGAATTGGATGCTTCTGGAAATGCTATGGGTTGAAATAGTGGGTCCAAAAGGAAGCTTAACACTGGGAGTTTGTTACCACCCACCAGATCAAAAGATAGAGGATTATAAAATGATGAATGAATTAAAGTTATCTGCTAGACAAAATAACTGTGTCATAATAGGTCATTTTAACTACCCAATCAATATGTGTTCTAGTCGAGAAAAAGAGATTGAGTTTCTAGACACTCTAAATGACTGTGCTATGGAGCAGATGGTCACGGAACCTACCAGGGGAGAGGCGATCCTTGATTTGGTCCTAAGTAACACTCAAGACCTGGTGAGAGATGTAAAAGTGATTGCACCACTTGGAAACAGTGATCATAATGTTGTTGAGTTCAACATTTGTACAAATAGAGAATTGGCCAAAAAGACTCACACAACCACTTTTAACTTTAAAAGGGGTAATTTTTCTGATATGAGGGGACATGTGGGGAGGAAACTGAAGGGAAAAGTAGAAAGGGTCAAAACCATTGGGGAAGCTTGGAAACTGTTTAAAACTACAATTCTAGAAGCTCAAATAAAATATATTCCGCAGGTTAGGAAAGGCACAAACAGGTATAAGAAAAAGCCTACATGGTTAACAAACAAAGTAATGGAAGCTGTAAAAGGTAAAAAGGATTCCTTTAAGCGGTGGAAAGCTAGTCACAGTGAGGCTGATAAAACAGAACACAGGCTATGGCAAATAAAATGCAAGTCTGTGGTCAGGCATGCAAAAAGGGAATATGAGGAGCATATAGCAAAAAATGTAAAGACCAACAATAAAACTTTCTTCAAATACATTAGAAACAGGAAACCAGCCAGGGAGGCAGTGGGGCCCTTGGATGACCAAGGGGTAAAAGGAGTACTGAAGGATGATAGGGAAATGGCTGAGAAGCTAAATGCATTTTTTGCCTCCGTCTTCACTGTGGAAGATGAGAGGTGCTTGCCCACTCCAGAGCCGCTGAGTTCGGGAGGGGTGTTGAAAGACCTGAGTCAGATTGAGGTGACGAGAGAGGAGGTCCTAAAACTGATAAACAACTTAAAAACTGATAAATCACCAGGCCCAGATGGCATACATTCGAGAGTTCTGAAAGAACTCAAATGTGAACTTTTGGATCTCCTTACAAAAATATGTAATCTTTCCTTAAAATCTGCCTCCAATCCTGAGGACTGGAAGGTAGCTAATGTCACTCCCATCTTTAAAAAGGGTTCCAGAGGAGATCCGGGAAATTACAGGCCAATCAGTCTGACGTCGATACCGGGTAAATTGGTGGAAACCATTATTAAGGAAAGAATTAGTAGGCACATAGATGAACAAAACCTATTTGAGGCAGACTCAGCATGGGTTCTGTAAGGGAAGATCTTGTCTCACTAACCTGTTAGTGTTCTTTGAGGGGGTGAACAAACGTGGACAAGGGGGACCCAATAGATATTGTTTACCTTGACTTCTGTGTTCCGAGGCAAAGGCCAATGAGGCTGCATATGCAAATAACCTCTGTGAGGAACAGCAAAATGTTTAGAATGTTGGAGGCAGGACTCAGGCAAAGCAGCCAGTGGATAGGGAGACCCTCTGAATGACAGATCAGAGAGCGAACTGATTTTGGAGCGTGTGAAATGTTCTAGAGAAATGCCACCAGCATTCGGCTTTTATTTATAAGGGAGATATACAGAAAGGGGGGAGGGGAAAGGAGGAAGAAAAGAAAAATACAGAAATATTTTAAAATTATACTTGAAGAGAACTCCAGTACACTATGAAAGGATTGCCAATCAATGCCATGTTTCAGTATGTGTGTGAAATTTTTAATAATAGTGCTATGTATATTTATGAGACTTATGGTGGAAGAAGATCTCAAGATTTTTATATAGCAATATTACATTTCAAGATTTGTTTCACTCTTAGTACTATTGATTAGTTGTAAGTGTTGTTTACTGATGTTTCCAAGTCAAGTTCGAAATATCCCCATAGGAATGAATTTCCTGTATACTTTTCCCACTGCTCTGTTACTGAGGTGTCATGCACTTTCTGTATGCTAACTACTGTTAGGGATTGATTACTATTGTTTCTATTTTAATTTATTATTCTATATCTATATTGCCATTGTCATGTTATTGTAACATTCCTGACGCATTGTTGCCATAGTATATTCCACATCTCATAAACTATTATTAGGGATTAATTGTTATTGTTTATGTTTATATTTTATTATATTGTATCATGTTAATATTGCTGTTGTCATGTTACGGTTACTTAATAAAATGGTGAACAAAAAAAAGATTTGTTTCTCAATTAGACTGCAGTCATACAATGCCATAAACATATATATGTGCACATAAGCATACTGTGACTACTGCCTGCTAAAACAGACCACATACAGGCTTTACACAAAGCCTTCTAAGTCTTTCTGCAGTGATGAAATTAAATAGCTTAGAATTTTATTGCATACTCTTTAAAACAGAACTGCCGCACCTCATCTGACTTTATGTTTGCCATGAGTTAGCTGTGTTTTCAAAAAGGAACTGATGTTTTTGTAGGCTTGTTCTTTTCTGGCACCTGTAGAAACACAGTATAATCTATTTTAACAGACATTCAACACCATTCAGGCCCTGACCACCCTTGTGATTTAAACCTGAGCAGGTAGCCTGCTCCCTCACCCTAGCTAATATGTTAACCCAAGCACTGGCTAATTGTATCCTAGCTCATAACACATCATACCAGATAAATAAGCTATGAAGTACTACTTGCTTATCTAATTAACACTCGTCTCTGTTGATACAGAAACCCACCAGACCAAAATAGATTCCATTAAACCATAAGGATGAACTCTTCATGTGCATATCCACAATTTTGAATTTTCCAGAGCAGAATTACACTTATTACACTGTAACTCAGCATATTTAAGTAAGATCTCAACACATGAAGCTGCATTAT